GCATATGCTCGGCCTTTCAGGCAAGTCAGCAAATAACTCAGCTTTTGAATGTCTGGAATAGGTTGATTGTCGACCGCCGCTTGAAAATTGGCGCAGAACTCCGGCCATTGCAGAGAATCATCATAGAACTGTCGAAGCTCCAATTTCGGCAGCTTTACCAAATGGCCGCTATTGTTTGACTGGTTCGTTATTAACGAAACTGATTTTTTCGAACGTGTTAAAGTATTTCTGATATTGGATTGCTGTGTTTTTAGTACCTCCACAGCTTCGCGTCCACTCTTTAAAACATTCAGGAAGCTGTTTTCGTTTTCGATATTCTCGTCATAAATTCTTTCTTCCAAAGCTCTTCTTTCTGGAGGTAACCTCTCTATGAGGCTGATCCATTCATCATTCAATTTGTTGAGACAATCTACGGCTGAAGCCACTCTCTGCTTCGTACATTCGAAAAGCTGCAATCGCTCTTCGTAGTATGCGAGTTGCTGCGGGACAGAGAGACCTTCAACCGCCCCCTTAAACACCGGGAAGGGTGCTTTGAAATTCCTCTAGGTAGCGTTGAAGCAGACGCTTGGTTAACCCAGCTGAACGCGGAGTCCTCCCGACATGCTGATTCACAATGCGTTTTTCCCAACCGATGCACCAATGACGCGAAAAAAGGAATAGAATAAAAATTAAAAATTTTACTTCTTCACTCTTGGTGGGTTAGAATTCTTTCTTCCCGTCAGAAATGCCGGTTTCTTCACCGCCACGCGAGTTTCTTTTTTAGGGAATCAAACCTTTATTTTTCTCTTCAAAAACAACAAGCCACAAAACGCCTCAGTCCACCCTCTTCCAATCAAACAGCAACTAACACTCTTCCAATCCAACAATAATCAACACTCTTTCAATCCAACAATCACTTGCACCCTTTCAATCCAACAATCACCAACACCCTTTCAATCCAACAATCACCAACACCGCCAATCCCAATAATCACCAAGTCGGCCAAAACCAATAATGATCAACACAGCCAATCCAAACAATCACCAACTCGGCCAAAACCAACAATCACTAAAACAGTCAATCCAAATCAACACAGCCAATCCAATAGTAATCAACAACACAGCCAATCCAATAATAATCAACAACACAGCCAATCCAATAATAACCAACAACACGGCCAATCCAAAAATAATCAACACAGCATTCCATTCCCTCCTTCTCTGCATCCATCCCCCCACCCATCTAAGTCCGAGTGACCTAGTTCTAGTTGGGCAGGGGGTGGATAAGGAAAGCACAGAAGGCCTGACCTTTTGACCCCTCGCGAAAACAACTTTCGCGACAGTACCCAGCCACCGCACGGTAAGCTCGATCCTTTAGACATTCCATCAAATAAATCAGCTCTTGTACTGTTGGTATAGGCTGAGAATCGACAGCAGCTTCGAATAATGCCCAGAACTGCGGCCAATCTTTTGGATCACCCGTAAATGGTTTTAGCTCAATTTTTGGTAATCGTACATTTCGAACTCCATTGCACATCACTGGTGTTGGCGATCCGTTTTCCGAATTCTTCGTAGGTAGAGAATTGACATCCATTCTTAGTAACGCTGATGGAATTGTATCTTCCTGAGACTACAGCTCTATCACCACAGTTC